ATAGACTTAGTAGATATCTACAGAGTTCTCCAGTCAACAACAACAGAACACACTTTCTTCTTAGCAATACACAAGACTTTCTCCATAACAAACCACATACTATCTCGTAGAACATACTTGTGGAAATGCAAAGGAATTGAAATTATCCAATGCATACTATCAGATCAAGGTGCAATAAAATTAGAAATAAATGGCAAAAGAAGCCACAAAAACTACATAAACACACGGACCTTGAGACCATACTTTTAAGTGAAATAAATCAGACACACAAGTTTAAATATAACATGGTTTCTCTTGTGTGAAAACCCCAAAAGGTAAATAAGGAGCAAAGTGAGGGGTAGATATTGGGAAACAAAAAGAACATGTGCAATGGGGAAGTGGAATAAGGGAGTGAGGAGAGAAAAGGAGAGAAGGAAGAGAAAAGGGATTTTATGAAAAGAGAATGGAAGGGAAAAAATGAAAACAAAGCTTTTGTAATTGGGGAAGGGAAAAAGGGTTACAGGGAGAGGAGAGGATTGGGAAAAAAAGAATTGAGATATATTATGTATAGGTACAAATTCTCTTTGATAAACGTGATCATTTTCTACGGCAAATATGTACTAATAAAAGTAAAATTTTTTAAAAAGATACCTATTACAGTGTCCTCCAGCTCTAGTTTTAAAGGCTCTTCCATTTGGTTCAACCCTGAAGATTTACAGGGCTGACAAAGTTCCTACTGGTACCAAATATCTTTCCATATTCTCTTGCTATGTCTCTCAAAATTTAAAGACTGTTTTCATCATGCTATTATGTGTGTAAAACTGGCCATTTGTAAGCAATTGTCATATCTTCCCTTTGAGAGGCATGTAGATGTGTGGAAGAAATTATGTTGATCAGCATTTCCTAACCATGAGGATTAAGACCATGAAAATCACTATTAGCTTAAAGGTGGTGGGGATGAGGGACTTTTACATAGCATGAATAAGTAATTCACACATATACACATATGCAGGCGCGCGCACACACACACACACACACACACACACACACAGATCACCCAACAATCACTGTCCATAATAGGGAAGTTGTCCAACGTGAAAAATTATGCAGAATTAGGATAGATTTTTTTAAAATGGAGAATCAAAGGTAACAATATAGAATTGTGACAGTATGAAAATTCCCAGTGGCCGTTTTCTGAACTCTTCTATAATAAGCAAACTGGTGCATGGCGTGCTGCGTTATAGCACTCAAGAAACTTGTTGAACAATACTATTCCACCTGTAATGGCAAACATCAACACAAACAATGCAGTCCCCAAGGAGAAATGAGTAAGAACATCTACGTGGTGCACGGAGATGACAATGTTTCGCACGTTTAAAGGGGAAAGCCTTTGTGGAGTTTTACATACAGTACTATCTAATTTAAAGCAAACACTCAAACTCCACAGAGCACTGTTCATCTTCAGAAATTCCTACTTAAAATAATGCACCACTGCACTCACGTGCACTTTTAGGAGTTCGGAAATGCTTTGGAAGCATCAATGTCATCATAAGACTACTTCAAGAGGGATGGTATTACAATACCTATCGGATGGTGTAGATAGACATGCCAAGGTCCTACATGAAAAAAACCCTGCTTTCATTTTCATTACTTTAGAAAATTTCAAGTGATAAAATACAAACCTCAGATGATCCTGAGAAATTTCTGACCCTGGAAGGTGCTAATCAATATTTGCATGACCGTAAGAATTAGTGCTTGATGAAAGATACTGACAGCTTTCACCACAGATATATATTTATCTTCACTAAAACATGCACCAAGGAACCCTAAGGTTTAGTCAAACTGATTAGTCAGCTGAGGCTTCTTTCCAATTCCTTAACACTATTGGGTTCTCTCTAATTTGAGTATCACCAAGATAACTGCAGGGGCAAAGGGCAAGAGAAAAATGTTCTGAGATATCAGAGGCTGCCCTGGTGTTTTTACTTCAACAAAGCTTTTCCATGTACTCAGTGAAGTTCTAGAAATTTCTAAAACCAACAATTTAATAGTCATCCCTTCAGGGTTTTTTTGTCAGGGTCTGTAAGCAGCCCTGTCTTTCTCACAGAATAAACTGGGTCAACAGATATTTTCAGCAGACTTGGTAGAATTTTCAAACATCTTGAAAGACGAGCAGAAACATATATGAAAGAGATTTAATAGAAATAAAGGAGTCACAAATAGGTGACATTTACCTCTTGAAGTATCTAGGCTTTTTATCTTGTTACCATTTTCAATAGAAATTTTTAAAACCAGAAGTACACGTTTGCTCTGCCTTTTCTTACTGAGTCAGACTCATCATGAGCACTAGCAGCCATACTGTACCCTAACCTGGTGATACTTGTAGGGTCTATTGATGGAGAGTTGCTATTTAAAATCACAAAGACTGGCAATTGCACAGCTGTCAATTAAAATCCCACAAGAGTGGGACAATGACAGAAGCAGAGAGACCTTGTGATGTGCACACAGGCAGGAATGGTTAGAGGAGAAAGATCGGAAGAGACTTTGTGGAGGACAAGCCTGAGCTGAAGAGTGAAATGGGAGATGTTTTCCAGATAAACAAATGAGCAAAGGGCATCCCAGGCTATCTTTCATGACAAAATGTGCTGGCCAGCTTCTCCTCAAAACTGCAAGATCAATTTCTCTAGCTGTTGGGAGCTCTGCCAGCAGCCAACCCCAGCTGCCCACTTCTTTGGGACTTGCCTTGGGTGAAGGGTGATGTCTCAGCCAAGATCAGATCCTTTTCCAGGTAAGACCACTTTCAATGACTGGCAGATGTCGGGCAATAAAGGCCCAGGCCTTCACCTCAACTTGGGCAAGTCAGAAGATCATTTCAAGTTTAGATTTTCCAGAGCTGGTTAACTGAGGCCTTCATTAAAATGTTATCTCTGCCTAAATCCCCACTCTGATTAATCTTGCCTTCTTCCCTACTGACTCCCACTCCAAGAACTTTCTCTGCTACACTTTCTGCATGCTAACGTCTAAGTGTCCCAGTCCCAGAGAGCCCAACTTGAAAGGGTTGATACCAGAAGTGGTCCATGGAAACAGATGCTAGTTGGGATTTGTAGTTGGATTCACCTCTGCTGCTAGAATGGAAACGTGGACACCATTACTATCAGCTGGTGGAACTCAGAGAGTGCGTAGCCAGATGCAGCGGGGCAATTGCTAAGACTTTCACTGGTGTTGAGTAGAGATGCGACACCAAGGGAAGGGAAGGGTCTAGTGAGCATGACTATCAGGTATTACAGTAATATGGGGGACCTAGGAATTAAAGGACAGTTGAATTGAGTGGCTGTGACTAAACACAATTCACAAGGAAAGGTTGAGATGCTAATTGGGTATTAAAAGCTAATTGGGCCCAGCTATGATGGTGCACACTATAATTCCAACATTTTGGGAGGAACCCATGAGGGTCCTAAATTCAAGCCCGGCCTGGACAATTTAGGGACTTAGTGAGACACTTTAAAAAAACACTTTTTTAAGAGCTTGTGACATATCTTGGTGAGAGAGTCCTGGATTCAATTCCTTGATACACAAAACAAACAAACAAAAGCTAAGGATGAAAACCAGAAGAGTACAATGTTAGCATACAAAGAAACTTCCATTTTGAAATCAGAGAGCAGAGAAAGCTGAGGAGTAGGACCACACTTAATCATAACAATAGCAGAAATTTTAGGTTCTGGACATGATGAAGTCATAGGATAGGATTTACCCTCCCAGCCAAAAATAACTTAAATTTCAGACCAAATGCTTGAAAGTATTACTTTTTGAAACACTGGATATCAGAAAATCAAAAGGAAAATTAGTATTTTGAACAGAATGAAAAAGGAAAAACCAGCATATCAAAGTATGTGGGATGCAGCTAAAAGATTATTCGTAGTGACATTTATAGCATTGAATGCTAATGAGAAAAAAAGAAAGGTCATAAGCATCAGCTTCCACCTTAAGAAACTAGAAAAAAAAATTAGCAGAAGAAAGTAAATAATAATGATTATAATAGAAATCAAATAAATAGAAAGCCAAAAATAGAAAAAATCAGATTTAAGAAAATAAAATTGGTAAACTTCTTCTCAGACTTAATAAAAAAGAGAAAAGACACAAATTGCCAATATTATGAATTATAAAGGTGACATCATGTGTATTATACCAACAATAAAAGGTCAATACAGAAATAATACAAATAACTTTATGCCCATAAATTCAAGAACTTACATTAAATGAGTAAATCCCTTAAAAAATGGAAAGCACCAAGCTTAGTCAGGGGACGTGGATAAGCTGAAGAGCCTTCTACCTTCGAAAGTAATTGGATATGTTGTTATAAGTCTTTCTCAAAAGAAAACTATGGCACTCACGTCCCCCATAATAAATCCTACTAAGTATTTAAAGAAAAATAATATGCTGTGTACAGGAGGAATTTAGACATTGTGAGCAAGTAACAGGTCATTTACAGTGGAACACGGTGGGGGGGGGGGTGCTGTACTACAAAAGGGAGAGAACCACACTTTCCCCTCGAATCTTTCAAATCTGTCTACCCCGCCTTGGACTTAGCATGGCATAACATGGGATCCGGAGGCCGTCTCTGAGGATTCAATTTCCAGTCCTTCCTCAGTCACCTCATCTGAAAACGGATAATGATAGCGATTCATCCTTCCCTTGAAAGGCTACCGGGAAGAGTAACCAAAAGAATGCTGTAAAGCATTTTAAACAGTCTTGGTCATCCTAGAGATTTGTGGGAAGACAGGCGGTTATGTTCCTGCTGCCAGGGCTTAGGTTCAGTCTACTGTCTTCCACACGGTCAAGTCATAACCATGACTAAATCCCTTTGGTTTCCCCGCTGCTCTTTAGACTTCGTGGTGTAACCTCCAAAAGCTGTGTGATCTGATCCCTGCCTCCCTTTCTCTCAAGTCTTCCATCCCTTCTTTCTGTCGTTCACCTAGGCTCCAGGCAGTCACAGCTGGCCACCAAGGGGCCCAGAGCCTTCTCACCTCTGGAATTCACAGGCCTCCACTGTTTGCTTTCCAGACAACACTGGCTCCTGAGAGAAGCCTCCAGCTGGCCCGGGCTCGGGGCCTGGCCACTCCTCTGCGACCAGGCCTCAATCCTGACCTTTACTGTAAGAGCTTGCCTTACCCCGACTAGGAAGGTGGCCACCTCTGCCATATTTACCACTGCATCCGCATCGCTGCCGCAGGGTAGGCATCATAGTCTGCTAAATCAATGATTTCACAAATGAAAGCGGGGGAGATTCACGGGAAGACAGCAAGAGGTAATCCACAAAGAAAGCGGAAGTGGTTGATGAACAGAGAGAAAAAGAAAAAGGCACATCAAGAGCTGGGGAAGGGCTGGGGAGGAAGTAGCAGGAACTGGTTAAGAATGGGGTTTTAGCATTTACAAATCCCTCCCGCTGCTTCTCCCCTCCCCAGGCTGTCAGCAACCCCAGGTCAGAGACCTTATCATTGGCACAGTATCTTGCTTAAAAGAGAATATTAACGATGGCACTCTTGCGATAAGAGATGAGGAGGGACTGTACAAAAGTCCCATTTACTAGGCCTGTAAAGTATCAGAGTGCCGTACTTCATTCTGGACCTGAGGAAGCTGGGGCCCAAAGATGCAGTCACCAGCTCAGAGTCACAGAGGAGAGGTAGCAGGAGGAGGGAGGTCTTGACTTGGCCTCCGGGGTCCGTGCCCTCAACCACCAGGTCACAGGGCCTCCCTGCACGGGTCTGGCGGCGGCTGCAGGGCAGGGACGAGTCCAGGCCCACGCAGCTGGGCAAGGGGCGCGCGGCCCGCCCGGCGCCCCAGGCCAACTCCAAGCCCGCTCCGCCGCCCCTTTCGCAAGCCAGGGCCTTTCCGCCCCCTCTTCGCAGGTCCGTCTCCAGATGGAACCTGGGCTCTTCCCCAAGGCGAGGCTGTGGGCGAGCTCCTGGCGCAGCCTGGTCTGCGGCGGGCCGAGGACCGAGCCGGGGGCGGGAGGCCCCTGGGACCCGCCACGAAGCCCGCAGGGCCACGAAGGAGGGCGATGGGTGGGGTCGCTTACTCCGGCCCATGGCACCTCTCGCTTCGCTGCCTCGGAGGCCAGACCCAGGCTTCAGGACGCCCTTCACCTCTCAAGCCACCCTCCGCGCGCGCGCCGACTTCGGAATCTCGGAGCCATGGCAACAGGGACTCTACGGTGGCTGTGAGGGGCCAGGCAACGCCGCATTTCCGGACCTCCCGGAGGAAACTCAGGCTAGACCTGGACGAGACTGGGAACTGCGGCTCTTCCCAGTCCAAACCCAGTCCCCCTCCATGTCCCCATCCTAGCCTTTCCGCTGACTGTCCCCTAATCAATCAATTGTCCAGCCTGAATAAAGAATCTAGGGGCTCTTCTGCTGGGCTCTGCCTCCTAGGTGTGTTCCCAGGCCTTCTCTCTACCCGCCCCCCCATTTTATTTAACGCGTTCAGATCCAAGAGATTTGGATTTGGCTTCTACTCTATTTTCTCGTTGTGCAACCTTAAACTTCCTTGGCCTCCATTTCCATATATGGAAGATGAATGGTATTAATACCCTCAAAGGATCATTGCAAACTTTAATGAGTGAATAAAAGACACACTTTTTAAAATTCTCAGTATAAAGGTTGTCATTGTTTTATGTCATCTCTTTAACATCACCATCACCAGCCGATTGTTGGCTAATAAATTTTCTAAAAACACCGTCCATTATGCACTCCAATTTTCCCTGCTCTTTATCCCATTTATAAGGAGAGAAAGACTACAGTGTGTAAAAGAAACAACCTCCCATTCTAGCGATAGTAAACAAGTGGAGAGCGGCTTCTTATCCTGATATATGTATTATGTTTGCATCTTAAAAGGAGATTGATAGAGCAATGCTGAGGGCAAAGAAAGGTACTCCTTCACAGGTAGCTGTTAAGCACTTATTGTTGGCCAGGGTTTCAGGGTTTGCCAGGTGGAGACCCGCAGAGAGTCAGGAAAGTCAAACAGGGTGTAGTAAAGGAGGGGCAGGGGACCCTGGTCAGTTTGGCAGTGAGAGAACTGCTTAGAGGGATTTTTGAGCATAAATCTGAGAGAGTAGATCAGGTTCACGACCTTAAAGGTCAAAAGTACTGAGCTGGAGAGGTGAGATTTCAGACACCATGTGCTCATAGTGGGAGAAATATTTAGCCTTCCAGTATGATTTCTGAGAGCTCTAAAAGTATGAACATAGATGACATCCACTCTTTCTACACCAAAATCGGGTTCTCTGCATTTTCCTGTTTTTGAAAGCCGGACAGTGGGTGTAAAGATTGTGAGCTCTGGCACTGGAAACATGTTTATTACTATATGGAACTGGACTACGACTCCACCTCTGAGAGCTGCAGGTGGCCTGCTTCCATTCGAGGACAGTACGGGCCATACCTGTACCTGCCTCTGAGATCTCTGAGCAGTTGTGTCTGAGCACCCACACGGGAGATGAGGTGTCAAAAGTGGCAGGAAAGTTTAGCAAATATGCCTGTGCTTCAACTTGTCTTTTCTGACAGCAGAGGATTTATGGAGGCTCAGAAGAATCTAGCTTCTAGCAGGAAGCTGGTACGAAGGGGTATTTCAAGGGCAGAGTTTAGTTTCTAAGCTGACAGAAGCATGAGACAGAACTCAGTATAAAGGATCTCAGTCTTTGGATCAGTCCAGGACACCAGAAAACTTTGGGAACAATGGCAACTCAAATGTTTGATTTGTTAGTTCCAAGCTCCTGTCCTTACCCTAGAACCCACTCATTCCACCACTTTCAGCCTCACCCCTGAATTCTCTAGTTATCGAAAGGCTGTGGTGTTTTGAACATTTTTGCCTTTTTCAAAATTCATGTTGAAACTTAACCCCTAATGTAGTGATCTTAGGAGGTGTGGAGCTTGAGGAGATGTTTGAGTCATCAGGGCAGATGAAACACCCTAAAAAACACGTTTGACAGAAGAAGTTGGTTCTTTTCCACCAATTCTATCCCTTCTACTGTGTGGGGTCACTACATTCCTTCCTGCCAGAGGACTCAGCGGTAACATGCCATCTTGGAAGCGGAGACTGTGTTCTCACCAGAGGCAGAAACTGCTGGTGCCTTATTCCTGGACTTTCCAGCTTCCTGGGCTATGAGAAATGAACTTCTGATCTTTATAAATTCCCCAGGCTCAGGTATTGGTTATACAAACACAAGGAGACAAGCAAAGGTCTTGGATTTTTTTCTGTGTACCTTAATATCTGTGCGATTTAAGTATTCATTCATCCAAAAGTGACAAAATGATGATGGCGTTATTATCATTCTGCTGGGTAAAATCCCTAAGTTCCTTTTAATCACTGTGTGATCAACACAAACCATATGCTTTGGAATTGCTAACTAATTCTCACAGCAGCCTTTAGAGGTAGGTCATATTATAGTCCGGTGAAATCATCTTCTTGGAGAAAAGTAAGCCAGGATTTTGTGCCCAAACTTGAATTTTGTGCTGCATCATGAAACCAGGAAGGAAATTCTTTTATTATTTGTTTGTTTGTTTCTGCCTCTAAGTCCTAACTCTCAGCATAATTCCTGACACTCATTACATATTTGTTGAACAATCAACTGAAAAAAGTTAGGGAGCCAGTCTCTCCAACAGCTTGGTCACTCTGGATATAAGGACCATGTCTCATGGCTCCAGTAGAATCACCATGGAAGAGTCCCTATTGTAAAGGGGTCTAGCAGGCTACCCAGAAAGGAGGTCACATTCCTCAGGTCCCTGTACAGTTCCTCATCTTCAGAATTTTTCATCAAAACCTGGAATAAGAGCTACATCTACAGCAAGGTCTCCATAGATCATCTGCCACACTGGTGGAGGAGAGAAACACCTTACATGGTAAAGCAGAGAAGCCAGGAATACCTTGTCCACTGTTTGTCACAGGCCAGGCTGGGCTGGTTAGGCTGTGTCCTTCCTCAACCCAACATCACAGTCACTGTGTTTCTCAGAAAGAGAGGACCCACGGGGTTTGAAGGACATGTGTACAATGCACTGTGATTGCTTTGGGAAATAAATCACAATGTGACAGCTTTGGGAATAGTCAAGTTTATTTCACTCAAAATGAATGAAATTGTTTAAAGAGTCATGATGTGTGTCTGTTTATGCAAAGAATTCTTCCAAACAGACTGGTTTCTTTGGCTCCTGGAAATGTAACAAGATGAACAGTGCTTCCTGAGCAAACTGTTTCAATGTTTTGTGTCTCCAAAGTAAGAACAAACCTTGAAGAGGGATTGTTTGAAATTCTAGTAACAACAAAATAGTCCTCCTACTTCTATTGTGCTGCAAAAGCTCCAGGGACGTTGACCTAGAAAGCTATGTGGATCTTCGTATTGTCACTGTTACACACAAATTGGTATTTTTATGATGGGTGAATAATATCTTGTACTTGACATTAATTTTCTTTCCAAAGAGATTCTTCATTGAAGCTTTATAACAACTAAACCAAGCTCCCAAGTTCACTTGTACCTTTACAACTTCAATTTATCTTTGCCTGTCCCTTCCCACTTTTCTCCATTCTCTCCTTTTCTCCCTTCCTTCTTTCCATACACCATTCTCTGTGAGGCATGATCAACAGTCCACATAAAACCCACAGAAACATACTTGACAGTGTGGGCTGACTATTCATGTTTTTACTTTTTTTTTTTTTTGACAATTCATTTTTTGAAAACAAAGTAATCTCCATTGTAGATGGTGACACTAAAAGGTGGATGCTATTATTATCACCTTTTTGCAATTAAGGAAATCCAGGCTACTTTATCCCAATTCAATGAAAAAGAGCTGAGAAAATCATGCTTAACTGCAATGTCTGCTCCCAGGGAGACGGAAGGAAGGATGCATTATTTAAGTTGGTCTATGGCATCAATCTGAGGACTGACCTCTCCCTCGTAGGAGTTTACAGACAGGAAAAGAGAAGAAAGGTAGAATAGGACAGCTATATAATTGTCCAGGGCTTCTTTGGCTATATCTCTGTCTATGAATTTATGCTACTAAACAAAAATTCCCCAAACAGACACTTTAGCAATTAAATGGAAATATAGGAATGCATTTCAAAACCAAGTATAAAATTATTTTTAAATGATTATTTGAATTTATTTGTCCTATCTTTTGCCTATCTCCATTAGATTATTACAGACAAGGATGACATTCTAAGAAGGATGCCTACTAGCTGGAATATAATCTGAGGAGGCTAGTCAGAATGTCCTACTCTATCACAGAGGACTCAAGTTCAAGGGTCTGAGGCAAATTACTTAAATTCTTTGTTAACTTCATTGTGTCTCAGTTTCTTCATCTGTAAAGTAAGAAAAATTAAAGTGCTTACTAGATTGGACTTTAACACAGCTGAAAAGAGATGGCAAATAATGTTTTCCCATAATCAGTGCTCTACACACCTCTGTTTGAGTATGAAAGTTTTAAAACATAGTTAACATTTGTTTATAGTCCTCCCAGTTGAAAGAGGGGACCCCTCCCTCTCCCTTCAGATCTACACAAGCTAACTACTACTACAGCCAATAGAGTACAGGGAAGAAACACTACATGACTTGCAGAGCTGGTTCACAAAAGTTCTTTGTAGCTTCCTCATTTCTGAACACTGGATTTTAGAGCTCCGAGCCACCTGATGCAGAAGTCTGACTACTCTGAGGCTACCACGCAGAGAAGCCAAGTGTAGATGCCTTCTCTACCCAAACCCCCACATTCCAGCTCCTGTCCAGAAGCCAGACACATGAGTGATAGTGTCTTGCACCCTGTTCACCACCTCATCCATCAGTGGAATTTCACTGAGTACTCATTGACCTGTGTCAATGTCACATGGGACAGAAGAACACCCAGCCAATACCTGCCAGAATTCCTGACCCACAAAACCATGAAATATATTCAAATACTGTACTTGTTTTAAACTTGTGGCTAGGTTTGGTACAACATGTCCAGACCTAGTTAGTCATTGCCATAAAGGATATAGTCTTACTAATGGCAAGTGTCAAATGCACTCAAGAGTTTCCAGAGTGGAATAAAATATTTTCTTTCCCACTACCTCAGCTTTCACTGGATGGGAGTACCTGGCATGCCTTCTTCTTTCCAGGTCTCTTGACCTGGTTTCCTTATTTTCCACTGACCCCAGGCTTCTCCACTCCCTCCCAGCTCCATCCTACCTGTCCTTGGAGGAGTTGTGACCTGCCATTTCTGACTCCTCTCTAGCCTCAGAGGGAGGAGGCTAAGCCTTCAGATTCCCCTGAGTAGAGAATATCTAATAGGACATGAAATCTTGGCCATGCTGATTGTCTCTTATAGTGTTACTTTTGAAGTAGGCATTTGTCATGTTTTGGTGTCCAGCACCAATCCCTTTGGTCTTGTCAGAGGACATCACCAAAGACAACTTTCCTGCTGTAGAAGCTTAAGTGATCATACAATTATTCTCCAACCCCTAGAAAAAGTGTATTGAGGACACATGACCTAAGTTTGCTCCTTGGGCCTTCTCTGAAGGGAGTACCTGTGGTCAGAGACATCAGAGGAGGCTATCACCATGGTGGCCTAGCCAGACTGTTCCTCCTGGAAGGTGGTTGCTATGGTTCCTGCATCCAGCTTCTTGCCACTCCAGAGCACCTCCAGTTCCTGCTCATTGCCATGTTTTCTGCCTGTATTACAAATCGTTAAAGCCAACTGTAACGTGTTAGATTCCCCTCACTTCTCACACCAACTGCAAGTTTGACAAGGGTGTCCAAAACCCATCTTCAGTTTCCAAAATTTGCTGGAATTACTGAAATCTGCCATATTCACATTAGCAGTTTCCAACTGGGAAAGGAGGCAGACGAAGATCTGCCTGAGGAAGAGACCTAAGGGCAGAGTCCAGAAGCTCCCACTGTACTGCTTCCATGGAGTCAGGATGCATTTCTTTCCCAGCATCAGCAAGTGACCATACATATAGAGTACTGCACTGCCAACCAGGAAAGCTGGCCTGAGCTTTGGTGTCCAGATGTTTCCTTGAGGTTTCATCTCATAGGCGTGATTGGTTGATTGTCCATGTAGTTAATCTTAGTCTGCAGATCAACCTAGCTCCACGTGACCTACAGCCTTTGCCTTTACTACCAGTTATATTGTTAGTGTTTCTGGTGTAGACAGCCCTCACTGTAAGCTATATGGGTACAGTGAGCTCTTACCTTAAATCACACTGTTAAATGAATGACCATGACCCAAAATCTCCAGAAACACAAAGACACTAGAGATTACTTCCTATAAGCTGAGGATGAAGGCAAGGCCTTCTATTTGGTCAAAGTCATGTTCTTTACTATGTACCTACCTGAGATTCCCATTATTTATATGAGCTCTCCAGTATTATTCCAATCTTTTTTATTCTGTTGCAGAGTCATCTTCAATGTTAGCAACAAAGAACCATCACACAAAGCATACGGGAGCCTTTCAAGGCTAAAAGATACTCCCTCCAATGAGAGAAGGAAGAGGAAGACAAGAGCAAAGGAGGCAGAAAGCTCAGTCCTGCCCTGTCACCATTCAAAGGCTTACCCCTCAGCACACCTCCCCACAGAATGAGGAAGCTGGTGCCCAGTTTATCCTTGGTTGCTTTATTTCCTTCAAGTTCATTGGTTTTGTCATTTTCTGGCACTTCCTAGGAGATAAGTGACCGCAGGTGCTGAAGGCCTGAAAAATATTATGAGAAAAAAAATCATCTACTAATTTAATTTTCTCTGAGAAACGAATAAACAATAGCTTTATCCAATTTCAGTATTAGAACACCTGGGGCCAGCTCCTAGGAAACCTGGAGTCCATAAGATTATTATTTGAGAACTATAGAGCTGTCTTAACTGCAGATAGGGACAGGAGTAAGTGAAATCCACAAAAATTAAAACGGTATCTCCAAAAACATTAATCCTTCCTAACATAATCTACATGGATAAAGTTGAAATGAGGCCCGTGGGGAAATTGCAAGTAACTGCCAATTTTGCTAATGATAATAAGTTTATTTTAATTGCTAATATATTCCTAATTACTCTAATTCTAAAATGTTTACTTCACTGTCAGTCATCTTTGATTTATGTTCTCTGTGAAAAGACTTTGTCAAATCAATCAATCCTTCTTAAGTGTAGTGGCAGCTGCTGAATATGATGTCACTTTCCTTGTCATGCAGCTCTGCTGGGCTCTGTTTGTTCTAAAGGAGAGGCCTTGCCCTTGTTCATTCCAGTTTAGAGAGAAGTTATATTTTCAAGGCTTTGGTTACATGAATGAGGAGGACTCATATCATTTATTTCAAACCCTTTTTTGTTTTGTTATGTGTTATTTTATTACAATCTGTGTTTTTAAAAATTGACACAGTAGGGCCGGGGATTTAGCTTAGTGATTAAGCCCCCTGCCTTGCAAGCGCAAGGCCCCAAGTTCAATCCCAGTATATAAAAAAAATTTGACACAGTATTTATACATATATTCAAGGTATAGTACAATAATTTTATGCATATATACAATGCATAATGATCAATCATGAATATCTACTTGAATTAATATATTGTAGATGTGTGTGTGTGTCCAAATAACTGTGTTTCAAGGGTGTGATGTAGTTGGTATAAGGATTCCTACTGTGGTGGGCATGAGGATCCCATTAATCCACTACCTAATTTTTTTCTTCCAACAAACAGTGGTAAGCCCCTGGGGATGGGGACAGAGTAGACCAAGACTGAAAAGGTTTCGTCCAACCTGGAACTTCTATAATCATGGAGGGTGAGGGGTTTTACAAAAAACAAACAAATAGGGAGGGGTAGGGGAAAGGAAAGAGGGGAATGGAATTAATATGAGAAAATTAAAAAGTGGAAACAAAGTCTTTGTAAATGGGGAGGGATGGAGGGGTTGAAGGGAGGGCAGGGGAAGGGGGAAAAATAACCAAGAGAGATTATGTAAAGGTGCAGATTTGCAATGATGAATGCCATTATATTGTATACCTAAAATGTACCAATAAAAGGATATAGAAAAAAAATAAAAATAAATAAGCACCACATAAGATTTCAGATAATGATATTGGCTATGAAAGAAAACTGGGGTGATAGAATAAATGTGTAGGAACATACTTTGGGTTGTGAGAGCAGTCATCGCGTGTCATCTCTGAAGAGGTGGCATCTGGGGTGAGAGCAGAGGGTGATAAGGAGACAGTCATGTTCAGAGAGGGGAAGAGGGCTGGAAAAGCTCTTAGAGTAGGGAGAGCCTGACTGCTAATGGCAGAGGAAAGGAAGCCGGCATGAGGGGCAGGTGCACACAAAGGCTTGGACTGTGCTGTTCCAAATGTCAAGGGGAAGTTGACATGGCTAGGAGGTGATTTGGCCTCCTTCACATGCTGAAAAGACTGCTTTGGCTACAGTGCGGAAAATGAAGCATGGGAGTTAGGGTGAGGGAGGCTGGAGAGGTGAGAGGAATAGAAAGTTTCTGGAGTGGATAGCAAGGTGGGCTATGAGGGGAAGGACAGTGGTGATGGACGGAAGTGGACACGCTCGGGACAATGTGGGAAGAAGAGACCCTGGAGTATATTGGTAAAGGAAAGAGAGGGATCTGTGACGTCTTCCACTTTCTTGCTGACTATGTTTACTGAAATAAGAATGATTGAATGGAAAGAAGAGAGGAACTATGGATTTGACGGTGTATGAAATCCAGATTTCGGAATTGCTATATTTATGATGTCTACTTCTGTCCTTTTGTCGGCTACTCTATTGTTGTTCTTATGTGTAGTGCTGGTAATGTTGGAGCTATTAGTTATCCAGCCACTAGTCTGTTTCTCTTGCATGATGAACTTCATTAGGACAGAAATCATGCTTTTTTCTATTTTTGCTTCCCCAGCACCTAGCACAGTGCCTCACTCACCAAAGATAGTGAGTAGGTCAAGAAATGTTTGCTGAGTTTGCTGAATAATTAGATAAAAAGAATACTTGAGTCCTCTTTCTAGTTCAAGAAGAGAGAAAGTTGGTATAAATCACAAAAATGATATACTGACAATCTCTTTACACTTTGTCTAGACGTACTTAGGTGTTTCCATTTAGTACCTGCTAAGTCAATGACCAAAATATCATATTGCAAATGATTCACTCATTCATTCAACAAGAGGCAATTGAGCAGCCCCTATGTGCCAGGCACTATTCTAAGCACAAAGCACTTGCATTCTAGGGCAGAATGAAGCTATCACTGTCACGCTGCTCCAATCAGTGAGTCTTTCACTTCTCAGACTTTGCTGGGGCCGGATAACTCTGCCTTCCCAGAACAAGGGCTGCCTCATTTCCTGTCTTGTAGTTAGGTGGACTCAGAGCTTCACTGAGTTCTTACCATGCACTGCCTGAGGTGGCTGCATTGCTGCCCCTATTTTACAGATGAAGTGACGGAAGCTTAGAGCACAAGTGGATTGCCAGAGGTGGAGAGCCTAGGGCCCGAACTCAACCCTATCAGACTCCACTGCTCGCTCAAGCTCTTAGTCAATGAACAATACTGTCTTGGTTTCTATATTTACCTGCAAAACTTGTTTTAAAATTTACTATCAAACTTATCGAACACTAACAAGGAAGTGGTCTTCCAAGAAATATATGGTTTTCTCCACTGTCCTGAGGACATTTAAGCCAGGTATAAATCAAAAAGAATATTAAATTAAGACTTCATAGTTTACTTCGTGGAAACTTAAAAACAATGCAGAAATGTAGCATCCTAATATCTACTTTGTAAACACAAGCATTTCTAATTCTTGATTGCTTCCCCTAATTCCTGATTTAGTGGAAATAATTTTTGGTTCTAATCTGGGTCTAAATTTCTTACTAGCTATGTAGCTTTGGAAAAAATTGCTTAACTTCTCCACTCCTAAATACTCTCACCTGGTGAATGAAGCCAGTAATATTTCCAAGTTAGGTTTAGTTAGATATATTAGATTCTAAATAGGTGGATATTTGTTAGCTACTTTTTCTTTCACCCTTAAAAATTGTCCGACCTGATAATCTAGACATCTGGTTCCCTATGGGGGCTGCTTGGAATTCATTGTAGAAAACATATCTTCATTCTGCCTGCTCAGTGTTTGTTCTGTCTTCTCTGGGAACAGCACTCTGAATTTTCACTGAGGAGCTTCCCATGTATTTGAATGGTGACCCCACCTGCAGGCCATAGTATAGAACCCAAGATTTGGCCAGTAAGAACTTTTCCCTTCTCCACGCCAAGCATTTGGTTCACGGATGAACACATGATCCATGTTGGGCCAACAAATCAAGCTAAGACAATCAAAGACCAATATTATCCTGTGACTATTCATAGAATTCCTGGAGATGCTTTTATTTCTGTGGGGGTTGCTGGAAGCTCTCCAGTCACTGAAGTAGAGCAGCTCACATGAGAGTGAAGCTAACATACAGGAAAGAAGGACTGAGGTGATATGAGTCCCATATGGACATGGTATACACAGCTGGATCTAGTTGTACCTGAAGGTCAATGCTGAAAGTGGAACTCGCATGCACATAAAATATTAATTTTTCTATTCCTAAGTCAGTGTGAGTTAGATATCACTTACTTGCACTGTCAGAACTCATTAATGTATTTTAAATTATTTATGTTAAAAATATTGCACAAAATTGGTAGCTATGTTGTCAAAAATATGCAATAGAACAGAGAGTGTTTTGCCAATTTCCTTAGAATTTTATTTCAAGATAATTTAAAATGATATACCTTATTTCTGCTATATTTTGAATCTGGTTCAAAAACTTTTCTTCATGTTCTGTTGTATAAGGTGATGTGAGTAGAGAGAAGCTGAGCCAGTCCCAGCACCCAGAAGGAAGCTCCCCCACCACCATCCCAGGCTCCTAGGGCAGAGAAGGTGAGCTGCGGGTGCCAGGAGCAACCCTGCCCCCCGTGGAAATGAGAAGACACATAAACAAGCCTCAAAAACAGAGTTCCGGATCACCTACAGCAATCTCAAAGGGAAATGAGATGGAACAATCTGATACTCAACCACCTGGACTCTCTGAACTGGCAACAAAAGAGGATTTGGGAAAAATGAAATCAGAAATAATTACTCAGATAACAGCAAAGATT